AAGATTTTATTTATTTATTTGAGAGAGAGAGAATGAGAGAGAGAGAACACATGAGAGGGGATAGGGTCAGAGGACGAAGCGGACTCCCTGCCGAGCAGGGAGCCCGATGCGGAACTCGATCCTGGGACTCCAGGATCATGACCTGAGCCGAAGGCAGTCGCTTAACCAACTGAGCCACCCAGGCGCCCTACAATTTATTTTTTTTATTTTATTTTTTTACATAGACTCTGTGCCCAGTGTGGGATTTGAACTCATAACCCTGAGATCAAGAGTCACATGCTCTACCAACTGAGCCAGCCAGGCATCCCTTGTCACTTTATTTTTTATTGATTTATTTTTTAAAGATTTTATTTATTTATTTGAGAGAGAGAGAGAGCACAAGCAAGGGGAAGGAGCAGAGAGAGAGGCAGGCGCTTAACTGACTTAGCCACCCAGGCGCCCCCTTTCTTTGTCACTTTAAACACTCACACACACTTAATGATGTTTCCATATATTGGCTATGTGAACAATACTGCAGTGGATATGCATGTTCAGATACGTTGTGGAGATACTGATTTTGTTTCCTTGGGATACATACCTAGAAATGGCAGTGGTGGACTATGTGGTAGTTGTATTTTCAATTTTTGGTGGATCTCCCTAATATTTTCCATAATGATTTCCCTATTTACGTTCCCAGCAGCAGTATTCAAATGTTATTTTTTCTGCACATCCTGACCAACATGTTACCTCTTGTTTTTTTGGTAATAGCCACTGTTAACACGTAGGAGGTGATATTCTGTGGTTTTGGTTTTCATTTCCCTGAAGATTTGTGATTGTGAGCACGTGTTAGTCACTTGTACATCCTTTTCACACTTGTGTTTTTCTTTTTTTCTTTTTTAAAGATTTTATTTATTTATTTGACAGAGAGAGTTAGCGAGAGCAGGAACACAAGCCGGGGAGTGGGAGAGGGAGAAGCAGGCCTCCCGCCGAGCAGGGAGCCCGACGCGGGGCTCGATCCCAGGACCCTGGGATCGTGACCTGAGCCGAAGGCAGACGTTTAATGACTGAGCCACCCAGGCGCCCCAACACACTTGTGTTTTTCATTGGCTCTGGTGCAGCTTTTCAATTTGATATAGTGGTATTTGTTAGTTTTTGCTTTTGTTGTCTATGCTTTAGATGTCATATTCAAAAAATCATTGGCAGGAATAAGGTTAAGGAGGCTTTTCCCTATTTTTTTTCCCTAGGAATTTTAGGGTTTGAGGTCATCTGTTTAAGTCTTTAATCTATTTCAATTTCATTTCCATGTGTGCTATAAGATGGCAATCCAGGATCCTTGTTTTTTCATTTGGATATTCAGATTTCACAACAGTATTTTATTTTATTATTATTATTATTTTTTAATATTTATTTATTTTAGAGAGAATCTCAAGCAGACTCCAAGCTTAGCACAGAGCCCGATGTGGGACATGATACCACAACAGTGAGATCGCGACCTTAGCCAAGACTAACAGTCAGACACTTAACCGATTATGCCCCCCAGGTGCCTCCTCATTTTTTAAAATGAAAACATATTTTATTTATTTGAAAGAGAGAGCAGGGAGGGACTAAGGGGGAGAGAGAGGGAGAAAGAATCTGAAGCTGACTCTGCACTGACCTGGAGCCCTTTGCGGGCTTGATCACCACGACTGTGAGATCATGAACTGAGCCAAAACAAAGAGTTGGAATCAACAGACTGAGCCACCCAGGTGCCCCTCAATATATTTGAAAGGTTCATTTATTTGTTTGGGAGAGAGAGGTAAAGAGATCACCGTAGGGAGGGAGTAGGGGAGAGGGAGATAGACAATCCCAAGCAGGCTCCAACCCTGAGATCACAACCTGAGCCAAAACCAAGACTTGTAGCTCAACCAACTGTGCCCCCCAGGCTCCCCATAGATTTCACAGCATTATTTTTTTTTTAAGATTTTTTTGTTTTTTATTAGACAGGGAGAAAGTATAAGCAGGGGGAGCGGCAGGCAGAGGGAGAGGGAGAAGAAGGCTCCCTGCTCAGCAGGGAGCCCCACGTGGGGCTCGATCCCAGGACCCTGGGATCATGACCTGAGCCGAAGGTCAGGTCATGCTTAACCGACTATGCCACGCAGGCGCCCCAGATTTCACAACATTATTAAAGAGATTATTCTGCCCTAGTGTAGATTTTTGGCATAATTTTCAAAGATGAGTTCACTATATATATGTGCATTTACTTTTGGGCTCTTTATTCTATTGCCCTAGGATTATTAGTACCCTGTTGTTTTGAATACTATAGCTTTGTAATTAGTTTGAAATCATAAATGTGCTGCCTTCAGCTTTGATCTCTCTCACTATTGCTTTGGCTAAATTTAGCCTTTGGTTGACTTGGTGGCAGGGGTGCCAGTGTCCCCTGTGGAGCCGGCAGCCGGAGTCTGTGCCGAGCAGGGACTGCAGGAGCACGCGCCCTGTGGCTGATGGAGGTAGCCCCAGCCCTTATTTCCCACCTACCCCACAGTCTCTGCTACAGCAGGCTCCAGCTATCTTTCCTGCGTGCTTGTGCCCTTCTTTATGCTCCACTGTGCCTACTTAGTCTTAATGGCACTGTTGAGCTCACTGAGGTAATGCCGTTCATAGACAGCTGTTGCATTGATTTTTGTTGCCGTGAAGGATGGTATCTCCTATTCTCCCATCCTGCTGCCATCAGTCACATAGGATGTTTTTCTGTGTCTGCTCTCCTGAGTAGCTCTGGGACAGTTTGGTTGTCCACGTGCCCTGTTTTCCTTCAGTATTTCTATCCTCCTAGTACCCTGTAGTGCCCAACGAGGGCTTACAGGGAGGAGTCCTTTGTGTGTCATAGCACAGACATGATCCAACGTGACTAGGTGGGCTCACAGAGGCTCTGTTTCTGGTGAATAGAACCTGGGGAAGGTGTGATATCAG